CAGCATGCCATGCTTCCATATTTTAAAAGAGTAGATACAAAGATGTTATGACATTTAGTGTGGGTAAAATCATTACCCCAGATATTTTTAATCTCATTCAATGAAAGAAAGAATTGTGGATAAAATTTATTTGAATGGTCTTTCTAAATCACCCGATATGTTAACTACCTACATCTTAGATTAAGCAAATATCAACATAAATAACAAGGACAGTAAATAGAAAAATCTTATGGATGGGTGAGCACTTTAGCATATTGTAGTCATTGTTTAGTAATGGTTCTCTTCTCCCATCAGGTATCTCCAGAACTAGAGAAATGAGGACAACAGCAGGAGGAAGGGCAATGTAAACTATGCATACCAGGAAACAGGGTGTAAACTGAAAGAGAAGGAACGCTAGCATTGCTGCAGGTCATAGAAGATTCTATGCATGCAGCTTCTTCACAGATCCCAAAAGACACTGAAGAACAGAGCCAATGTCCTTAGAACAGTTAAATGTCTGACATAGAGGTCAATTCTTTAGATGCTAAAAAAAAAATTGAACACTTGTAATTCTGCTATTGGATCTTTTCTTGTAATTAACTTACTTCCTGAAAAATAAACACACATGCACACACATACTCACATTGTAAAAATATGTATCTAAATGCCTCATTTTCCCCAACTTTGACAAATTTTGTGTAAAGTCTATATCTTGGTCACACAACTTTTGGATTCAGTTACCATACTAAGACCACCTCAGAGAATGACCTGGAAGTCCCAAAATATCATATCCCACCAAGTCAATACTGTTAGTGGATTTATCAAGAATTAATCTCAAAATAACAATCATTTTTTAAAAAGTGAATATATTGATAGATGTTATTGAAAAGATTCTAGGTCTCAAACCATGACACAGGGATTCTGTTTCTATTCATGTCTCAGGTTTGCTTTACTCTGTTGCTTTATAGTAGCAAATAAGGACAAAAATAGTAACCTAATTTGTATTGTTCACATAGCCCAATACCAATCCTTCTGACCAATGGTATAATGGACTCTAATTTTATAGACCTGAGTCATATGTCCATCCCTCATTATGGTGTTGGGGGTTATGAAGGGTTGGGAGCTGGGTCCCCACTAATTGATATACATGGAATGAATTGGGTTATTTTAGTGAGAGCTATGGTAAACATATGAAAAACACAGGTCTGCCATATTCCTTTACATGCTAAACTCAGGGGTCCTCATGCTTATTATTCTTGCTTTTTTTAAAAGATTTTACTAATTTATTTATTTATTTATTTATTTATTTGAGTGTGTGTGCAAGCAGGGGGAGGGGCAGAGGGAGAGGGAGAGAAATGTCAAGCAGACTCCACACTGGGAGCACAGAGCCTGATGTGGGGCTCTATCTCACGACCTGGAGATCATGACCTGAGCGGAAATCAACAGTCCAACACTAAACCAACTGAGCCACCCAGGCACCCCTTATTCCTGCTTCTTGAGAAGAATATGGAGATGTATGTGCTGCACTGAGGTTGAAGTCTATATAGCAATTTTATACACTGATAGCCCCATCACACAGTGTTTATTCAGTAATTTATGTAACAATTAGCTAAGAGTTGGTTCTCTTTAGTCTTTGAATTTTGAGAATATCAAAAAACTAATGTTGCCAGGTTCATCACTGCTCCTTAGAAATTCATAATTACACATATCTCAAAATACTATTTTAATCTTTTTCTTAATTCTCTGAATTTGATAAAAAATAAAATGTGACAACTACAATAAAGTTCACTGGTAAACATGTAATTAAATTTCTCACCTCTGCAAACATTTCTGAAATTGCATGTTTCCAAACTGAGTACATGTATGCCTTAACTTACGTAGGTAACAATTAAAAGAGGAAAGCAAAAGAAAATCAAGGCACTTTGGGGCTTTTGAGAAATAAGGCTTCTGTATAAGCACATGTAAGTTTTCCTTTTATCTGGACATGTTCTACACAATATCCATGGCATTGTAAATTTCACTTTTTACAAGATACTGAAAAACTCCAAACCTGAATAAAAATGCATTTTCATAGATTTTTACTACATACGATTTTTTAAAATATGAAATACTTTCATTCTGATTCAAAATAAAACACTTTGTCATTAATTATGATTCAAAATGGTTAATGGTAAATTAGCACCCGAAGAATTAATCATTCTTTGTAAATCTTTACTTCGTGACATGTAAAGTGGAAGATGCAACCATCTTTAATGACTCCTTTGATGCTGCCCCTCTCCAAATTGTGACGCTTTCCGTAGCTGAATTTTGACAGATTTATAGGCATTCCTAATAATTTTCTAAAATGAATCTTTGTTCATTAATAAGTGTTTCAAACACTGGATAATCCAATGCTTTAAATTTATTACTATCACTTCCAGAGCTATCTTTTGGGGCATCCACTTTCTCTGTTCTAAAACTTTATAAAGACTGTTTAAGCATTAATTGCATATACACATTAATTATGATATATATAATATGTACTACATATACCATAATCCATGTGCATACAGGTATATAAAATAATGTATTTTATATATGTAAATTCATAATGGCCCAAACTTCCCCACCATATATGCAATATCAACAGTTACAAATTAATTTATGTGACTTCAGAAAGAGAATAAGATGTGCCAATTTTGGGAAATACAGTTTACTTTTGGTGAAATGTCATTTTAATAATGTGATCATAAGTAAATTATTTGTCAAATTACTGAAAGTTTAAAAATCAACACTAACTTTAAAAGGATCTCTGATAGTATTATTATATTAATAAAGACAAGTGATTTAAAATTCAAATTTTCTGGATGTTGTGACATTATCTCCTACCGTATATTATTATACACTACAAAAGAAGAAATTGAAACAGAGGAATCTACTTCTTAAAATCTAGGGTATACCAGATTTTCCTTTTCCCCCCAATTTTTAATGAGAAGCTATGTGAAAATTAATAATTACTTAATTGGTTCTCCATTGATTGTTTACCATTTCTCACGGAACTTAAGCTAAGTTGGGTATAAGTAGTAATGATTTTGAGTTAGACTAGATCAGACAAAAGACTCCACAAGAATAGACACAGAGACTAAAATTCTTTCTTATTTTGTGTACTCACTTGCACTCGGCACAGCGGTGTTTAAAATACTTTAGACAGGGGTGCCTGGGTGGCTCAGTCTGTTAAGCATCTACCTTAGGTTCAGGTCAAGATCCCAGTGTCCTGGGATCCAGCTGCCTGTTGGGCTCCCTGCTCAGCAGAGAGCCGGCTTCTCCCTCTCCCTCTACCCCTCCCCCCAACTTATGTGCTCTCTCTCGCTCTACTCTCTCTCTCAAATAAACACATAAAATCTTTTAAAAAATAAAATAAAATACTTCAGACAGATAGTATGACCTTCTAATACAATGGTGAAGAACTCTGCATCTCAAAATAAGCTCCTGACTGAAGTTAAAACAGATTCTAAGTTGCATTATGGTTGCATTTTTCCTACAGGAATTAACCATTTGTTTTACTTCTCTGAAGAAATGTGATAGAAAACACCTGAATAGTTGAGGAAACACACAATCACACACCAAAGCTTTCACAGAAGAATGTTAATGTCTAAAGGTTACAGATCCTTCTCTAATCAACACTAGAGAATATACTCCTATAGATGTTCATCTCAAAATTTCAAATAATCATGACAGAAACAAAATTTATCACTTGACAATAGCCGGTTTGAAGCATCTGAATTTTGAGTGAGATCATCTCATGATAAACTATACCTTCCTCTCACAATTTTAAGCTAACTGTATCAAATTAGATCATAAGGAAGTAACATGAACCCACATTATCTTCATTTTTCCACAGCAAAATTTTCACTAATGTAAGACGTAACACTACAGATGTAGAATGTCAATATCCAGACAGCAGATTAGATAGAGATCTAAAAATACAAATTACCCATCTGAAAAAACAGTCTGTGTAAATTTATAGTTGACAATATGATAGTACATAATATATTTTACATGGCTGACTTGCTTCTGGATTCACTTGCATGAAGAAATGGGTCTGTCCACATTAAATAAAAATACTTCATTTCTTTTATTAAACAAAAGGAACCATAGAATTCAAAATTTTTCTCTTTTTTGCTATAGATTCTAACAACACAACCCTGATTAGAGCTTAGCTTAGTAAATCATTGGTGTATGTGTATGCAATATGTAAGTAAGAAGTAAATATATATATATATATGCATATGTATATATATATACACATACATATATAAAGAAAATTAAGATTGCCTATAATTCTATCTGTGGGAGTTAGCCATTGTTAATATATGTGGATGTACATGCTTCTGGTCTTTTCCCATGTTTTATTATAAAAAACAAATCAAAACAGAGTGTGTGTGTGTGTGTGTGTGTGTGTGTACACTCTCCCTTCCAATAGCTTTTTAAATTGTTTGTATTTAATATGTATAATATGTAAGTAACATCAAATCTAAGTTTATAATATAATAATTACATGAAACATAATGGATAGATAAGTACCATTTTGAATTGGTGGTTTTAGCTAATTATTGATGATTTTAAATTAACTTGAAAATGTAAAAATATAGTTAAAAGGTGTAAAATTCTAAATATTCTGGCAAAATGGCCCTGAATCAAAGTACTTGAATATTCATAAGAGACTGCCAAGGTCTTAAAAGTGTATTTTCCATTTGGAGTAAAATGCTATGGCCTGCCTGTAAAAACTGTAATGCAAGTTATATTTTAACCCACTCTGAGTTAAAATTGTGGAAAGGTTCCATTGTAATCACATCTCCAAATTTTATTTTTCTTCATTTTTACTTCATTTTTACTTCCCTTGAACCCTATTTTTTTTTATCTTTGATAGTGTTAAATTCAAGTCCTTCCCACTTTAGTAGACTAAGTGCCTAAAACAAATGAAGTCTCAACACATAAAATTTGACTCACAGTTTCAAAATAGTATATAGAACTTACCCATCCAAGAAGGATGTAACAGCAGCTGAGAAGCTGTCAAGGAGAAAAATGCCAGAAGGATTAATAAATCATATTGCTGTAACACGACGATGAGAATTATAAACAGCTATGTAAAAATTAGGTTGCTAGCAGTCAGATGGCTTGGCTTCTTTCAGCCTTGGTAGTAGAGTGGTGTACATTTATCTTCTGTTATGCACTGGTAAAGAGCTGGCAAGCTTGGTATATATAAACATTACTTAAAGATGTTATGATTGGCTTGGATCCAGAAAATGTCCTCTGACATTACCATTAGCTCTCAAAGATCTTAAATATTGCTGGAGATATTTGAAGAGGCAAAGGAAAGCCAGAAATCCAAGAAAGACAATAATAGCAAGAAAAATAGAGTGGATAATTAGGAATAAAACATGCACACTTAATGATAGAAGAATTTTAAAACAAATTAATGAAACCCAAATGTCTATATGGTTCATAAGAAAGAGTGGTTTAGCAAATTAAAACAGAAGGGAAAGAAATATCTTAAACAACAGCTTGCCAAGTAGTATTTTTTATTTTTTGTTGTTTTAATGTTTTTTACAAATAGAAACTAATCTTCCCAATATATTTTCCCTGTTTTACATGAAAAAAGGTATGCTATCATTCTACTGTCATTACCTGTGACCCTATTAAAAACAAACAAATGAAAAACTTACATAACCACCAAGAAAAAAAATGTTAAAGGAAAACCTCACTTAATTGTCATTCCCCTTGCAATTAACTAAAGCTTTTGAGAAAGTCAAGCAATAACTTAGCTATGATGTGCTACATTTGGTTTGCTGATTTAAACAATGCTCACACAATTAAGGTAGTTTATTGATAAGCAAATTTCATCAAGAGTTAACCATAATAATAAAATCATTATCCAAATAAAATCCAAAACAAAGTGTATGAGGAATGAGATGTTTTTACAAGTGTCATAAATGAGCTTTTGAATTTTCGTCCAGTCACATGATTCTACCTTGCACTGCCGAAACTGATAATTCGTTTTATGAACACATATTTTAAATATAGTCAAGAAGCAAGGAAATTAAGGTTGCCTGCAATTCTACCTCCTGGAATTAGTCATTGTTAATATGTGGATATACATGCTTCTGGTCTTTTCCTCATGTTTTATTACCAAAACCAAAGCCAAAACCAAACCAAAACAAACAAAAGTGCTTTCCACACTAAATTCAGTTGTGTTAGAATAAATGCAACATTTTAATTTTTAAACCAAGCCAAACCAAAACAAAACCTCTCTTGCCAAATATTACACATAAGAATGTAAGGAACGAATGTTCAATATAATCCCACTCAATAAATGAATGCTGAATTTGCTGCATGTCATACCAGATTTTTTCTATGCACATAACAAAGTGTTTTAACATTATGTTCTAATGAACAAACATATTTGTACAACTGTAGTTATAAAGCACACGGTTTTCAAAACAACTTTTTTAACACTGTATCTTAGACATTTCAGTATCCATTCAAACATATCTAGATTTACTGTTTTATATACTTGTAATAAAAGAACAAAATGATTAGTTTATATAATTTTTTGGTAATAGAATAATGAACTTTAACAAGAACTGTCAATTACTAGTTTTTATAGTTAAAACAAGACTAAATCAGTTTTGCAGGAAAACAAGGAGAAAGATCTTAAGGAGAATTTATGTCAGGTGCAATTTGCAATGATAGATGTTATCATTAAGAAAATAAAATTGTGTAAGTAAGGAAGCCAAGGACTTACTCAGCAGAAGGCGGGTCTGTCAGGTTTAATCCTGAATAGAATACAGCTGAAAAGTGAATATTAGGAGATTAATTCTAAAGTGGATTTTCTGAAGTTGATGCTAAGAAGTACAAGAAGTCATCTGCCAAAATCAAGAATCAGAGCATTTGAAACATAGGAGCTATTCCAACACTGTTGAATTTTCATCTCAACTAATTTACTTTTGTCAATTTTATTAAGAAAACCAAAATTTGTATTAAAATTACCATGTTAGAAAGACTTAAGAGGATGACATGCATTTGAAAAATAAGTTAACCTCATAATAAAAGCCCTAAAAAGATGTTATACATCACTTTCACCTATCTAATATCCGTGAAAGCATTCCCCAAAATGACAGTAGAGGGTCTATATTAGTTTTTCCTCAGGTGTTGCCTTTTGTTTTCTTTGCAATTTAAAATATTCAGTCTATACATACTTCTATTGTTGCACCTTTAGAAATGACACGCTTTTGCTGTTCAACCAGAATTCGTAAAAATAAATTACCTCTCAATTTTTTTGAGATTAATCATGATATAGTTTCTTTGTTAAATCTTAGGTGATTGAAAAATAAATCACATGTGCCATAAATATCCTTTGAACCACAAGCATTGCAAATTGACATTACAGTGTGGATTTTTCATCTTGACAGTTTATCATAGGAGCCAACTTGCCCAGATTTTCTTTAAAGAAGAACAGGATAAACCTGGTCAAACATAAAGAATAAAACAAAGTACTTGTTTATTGCTATAAAGAAATCCACCATGGATCAGCTTCCATATGAGATGTATTCCAATTCTCCTGGATAGGTTGGAAATTTCAACCATAAAAATTAGCAGTAATTTTGCTCTTTTCGAAGCGCCAGAATAAAGGGACTTTACTTTAGTGAAACAACTGTACCTCACTTGTTCTAAGGGTAGGAAAACAAATAAGTGCAAGAAGAAAATCAGAAAATCATATACAGTCTTTTCAAGGCACAGATAAAAACATATTTTTCACTGTTATTTAATAGTGAATGCTTCTGCCAATAAAAATCTCAATACCATAATCTCTACTTGTTTTGTCAATGTAGGAGTATGATAAAAGGAATTACCCTATTCTAAGATGCTTAGCCCACAAAATAGTATCACTACGCAAATATGTGATATGCTGTCATAACAAAGGTAAGATGGGTAATTTTATTCTGTAAAAGTATAGAAAAAATCAGAGAAAGAGTCCTCCTGGGGTTTTAGAATGCATGTATTTCAGTAAAGCTAAGTTCAGTAAAATATTGTTTTGCTTTTGGAGTGGGAATTAGATTCTGCATATGCTGTGGTCAGAAAACATCTTAGGGATAGGGAATTAAAATAATACATCAAAGTAAATATAAGAAAAGTTGAGGCAGATGCTAAGTTAAGGATTATGGTTATAATCCTCCTCTCCCTTTTTAAACGTACTTTTATTGTAGCAGATAATATTTAATAAACTATTATTGTATAATAAGTGCTATGCTTATTTTTCAGGTATGTTCCTCTCCTCCACAACAATCCTACAAAATCGGTTTTATACATTTCGCTTTAGGTATGGGAAAACTGAGGAAAAGAGAGACATAGTAATTTGCTTTCAGTCTAGTAGCTAGTGAGTGTCACAGTCAGAAGTGAATTGAAATTATCTGACTCCAGTGGCTGTACTTTTGATTCCTGGATGGATGGTCATGATAACCATGTGTGCAGAACTTTCAGTTTCTAAGAAATTTTCATGCCTGTGATCTCATTTTCCCCTTATGACCTTATATTCTATCTGCAGGACGGCTGCTATTCTGTATAATAGAAACACTAAAAATGTGTCTGGCTTTGAGTAGTGATTTTAGGAGTGAGTAGGTCCAGAGTTTATGGTAAGATCAGTTGAGGCTCCTGTTGCAACAGCATCACCAAACCAGGCTTCTCTTACCGGTAGCCCTGTAGGGTTTTCTGGGGTTTGTTGTTGATGTTGTTGTTGTTTTTTCCCCAAGAACACACTCAAGTAAACTTCCTGCATGTAAACGTATATCTCAGAGTCTGTTTCCAGAGACCCTGACCTAAAACAATAGTTTCAATATCAAACCAATCTTTTGAATCTTTAGCTAAATCTTTCCAGTCTCTTTAATAATCTCTTGCTATTTTCTTCTTCTCAGTAATTTATATATTTTTTTAAAGATTTTATTTATTTATTTGAGAGAGAGAGCACAAGAAGGGGGAGGAGGAGGGGTAGAGGAAGAGGGAGAAGCAGACTGCCGAGCAGGGAGCCTGACTCAGGGCTCCAGCCCAGGACCCTGGGATCATGACCTGAGCTGAAGGCAGACGCTTAACTGACTGAGCCACCCAGGCGCCCCATCTTCTTCTCAGTATTTTAATTTATTTATCCAACCCATGAAGCCAATTTATTATGTATATTCAGTTTTGATATTCTGACTCATTTTTGGAGACTCTAGCTGTGGTATCTTATTTTCTTGGTTGTTTTGTGGTTTTTTTATTATAAATTTGTACCTCTTAAAATTTTACCTGGGGGAATTATTTGTGGCTTGGACTAAAGACAGTTTCTTTCAGCGAAAGTTCACAATTATTTCTGCCAGGTGACTGGGGGGCTATACCAACATAAGACCACTTTATTTTTTTTTATATTTTATTTATTTGAGAGAGAGAGAGCTGGGGGGAAGGGCAGATCAAGAGGGAGAAGCAGGCTCCCCGCTGAGCAGGGAGCCCAATGTGGGGCTCGATCCCAAGACCCTGGGATCATGACCTAAGCCTAAGGCAGACGCTTCACTGACTGAGCCACCCAGGCGCCCCCAACCTAAGACCACTTTAAACTGTAATGTTGCATTAAAGTGTTTTACATCACCTAAGTAAGGTAAATTCAGGCTATAATCCAATATAAGGGTTGGTTTTTAGCTAGGATTATTTTCCCTCTTATTCAGCACTAGGATTTAAGATAGGAACATCTTATAAAACCCTCAGTGAACGTACATTTACATATTTTTTACACTCACATCAAGGGACTAGCCAATTTGCTGGACCCAGCTTTATGATGGGATTATAGTCTTTTAGCCTTCTTAACTTAAGAAAGTACTTGATTTATCTATTTCCTATGCTTTGCAAATCTATGAAAACTAAAACTCAAGTTCACTAGAATTTGCAATTGCTCTCAAGATGGAAGGTAGAATCAACATATTACTTATTACTTTTCATTTTCTCTTTTCATTTAGTTTTGCCTCAGAGTATTCCTTACTTTCTATTCAACTCATCAACACATTTAAATATGTTAATCTACTCAGTATTTATAATCTTTCCCCAAAGAGATGGGCAGATCACTCATTCTGCCATACTGCAGAAATGCAAATCTCTCACTCTAATCTTCATCAAGTGTCTTCACCTTTAACATGTGGTCCTTTTTTTCCCAGCCCAGCCAGCAGGGATGAGTGAAAACAGAGAACTAAAAGTGGATATGCTAAATCTTTGGTTATTATTTTAATGAAAGCTATGTTACAGATAAAACAAAAAGTTGGAAAAATGGAAACATTAAATTGTTATTCACCCTCATTCAAATAATAAGAATAATTACTCCTTTTGGTACAGAAAAAAGTTGAACAGCGTGTTGGGGCAAATCCTTTAGACCCCAGTGGGACCCAAGGGGAAGTTTTATACACTGTCTTTTCTGTTCTTAAATCAGTAAAAATTAAAACAGGTATTTACAAAAATTACTCAACAGTTTGGGGACCCATTAATAAAGGATACATTTACCCTAATCCTTTCCGGGACAATGTGAAAAGATATCCTTTTAGGATTCCCTAGTAACCCAGGTAAAACTGGATCTAAAGGGCTGAGATGTCTCTTTGCTGCTGAAAAGGGAAAAGACACAAGACAGCCATGGTAAGTCTCATGTGATCCCTGGATAACAAGAGAAATCAATAGGATTTCCTTTTGCCTCTGATAACAAGACACTTGGCTGAGAGAGAGAAAGCAGGCAGATGTTGAAGGGATCCATGGTCATGATAAGAGGAAATTATAACAAAGAGCAATGTAAGAATGTGTGTCAAGAAACCAGGTGGGAATACAGAAACCTCAACAGATGCCAGTGTGGTGGGGACATGGGACATGCTTGTACATTGCAACAGATGTCAGTCTAGGACAAAGGAAGGACGAAGCCCAGATGCCTCGCCATCTGATATTATTGCATTATGTAAACTTTTCAGAAATTAAACCAATCCAGGAAGAAAAGAAGGAGGAGGGGGAAAGGCAATTTTGATTTGACTGAAAACCTAAGCCTGACCTGAGAATAATTTCAAGCAAATGAATTTAGTTAGAATTGATTCCGTTATCTTTGGTTTTGCTACCAAGCAGAATGGGAACTCAAAAGCTAATTGTGGTTATAAGAAAAAATAAAGTTAAAATAATTACATATTGTCATCACTTGAATTTTAGAGCCTGAGAATATATAACCACAAAACATCCTCTTGATCTCCACAGGAAGAAAATACTGCTCAATTATGTAAAATATTTGACAACATGATAAAAAACATGTTACTAATTGATAACCCTGCAAGCAGAACCCTAGAATGGCAAGAATGAAAAATCAAATGGAAGGTGAGAAAGTTGAAATAGTATAAACACATACACACACACATACACACATTCTCTTGAAAAGCTGGTAATGAAAGGATATAGGAAACAAAAGACAGTTAAAAGTCATAGCTAAAGGGATATATGAGGTCAAGTCAAGGCTTGTCTTGTTTTCTTTAAGATTACAGGTACTAGATCATGTTTGACTGATCAAAGAGAGTATGTAGTAGAAATCAAGATGCTGAGATGCAGGAGACAGAAAAGCTAGAAGTGCAGTGGGAGCAAAGAAGCACCCATGAAGGGATTGGATTTGGAACAGAGTAGCACTTTCTTTATGGTCATGAGAAGGGGAGGCAGCAGGTTAATTTTTAGATATGGTAGCAAAAACATTAAGTTGTTACTATCTGATGCATTCTCTCTGGTCGGAAGTGAAGCCAAACACTGAGATTAGTAGAGG